CCCCCCCCCAATTTTTCCACTTCCCCCCAGGCATTCCCATCTCTAATCGGCTGCCTAAAAATATTAAATAAAAACCTCCAGAAATATGTGTTTCCAAGGTTTATTACCAGACGTGGCCACTAGAAGTAACCAGAGACTATGCAATATATAGCTTTGCTATAGCCACCATTTCCAGCATTTGAGGGTAAGCTTAGAACCAATCTCCAGTGGATACCACAGTCCTACTGTTATGTAGCTCAGCATTTTTCCTTATTTATTTTTATACAAAACGTCTTCAACATTTTTGACTTTTCCATTTTAATACTCTATGTGTAATCTGTTTTGGGCGAACGGACTCAAAACCTTATCCAAGAGTAGTGTTTCTCCTATGATTTCAAACTATGGTTACATCTGATATTGTATTAACAGGAGGATCCTCAACTGAAACCAGGATTTGTCCAGTGGGAAGTGCAGCTTGCCTATTGAAGGGTGGTCAAGCATTTGATTTGGGGCATCCTAAAGAACAACTCAAATCGCTTGATAAATATAGGTATGTATAATATAATTGTAAAGCTGCAAAACTGGAAGGGGCCCTATTGACCATCAAGTCCAGCCTCTGTCAAGAAGGTACAGTGGGGAATTCAATTCCCAGCCTCTGGCTCTGCAGCCAGATACCTAAACCAATAAGCTAGTTCCTTGTGATACTTTAAAGAAATAATTATTTGAAGGCTTGTTGCAATCACCAAGTTAAAGTTAGCATTCAAACTATAATGTTATGGGGAATGTTGGTGCCTTGACCCCTGAGATTTCTTTAAACGACACTTCAGGAATTAATTTAGCCATTTTTGTTAACGTATGCGAGTACAGTTAAATACTGCAGCTTAAAAAACAAAAAATTGAAGCTGAGGCTTCAATACTTTGGCCATGTCCTGAGAAGGGACAACTCCCTGGAAAAGACTCTGATGTTGGGAAAGCATGAAGGCAAGAGGAGAAGGGGATGACAGAGGATGAGATGGTTGGACAGTGTCATTAAAGCTACCAACATGAATTTGACCCAACTTCGGGAGGCAGTGGAAGACAGGAGGACCTGGCATGCTCTGGTCCATGGGGTCATGAAGAGTCGGACACGACTAAACAACAACAAAAAGAGAGCAGCTTGGAATCTTATGAGCACCTTGGGTGGATTCCAGTAAGCAGCAGGCAGACATCCACAAGTGCTGAACTCCACTGCAGGAGGGGCTACTAGACCAGATATTGGGTGTACATGGGGGAAAGCAGAGAACTTGCTGCCCTCACCATTGTGCTGATAAAAGTACTTAAATGGATTCTGCTTTTATTTTTGCCCCCTTTAGCTGAGAAAAAGAGCAACATTTTTATAAATGTTCTTAGTTTTATGTTACAGTTGTGCTGTGTTTTATTGGCATTATGACTACCATTTCTGTTTTTTTTTTAATCTTGGCTTTTATATCATTTTGTTTGAGCTTTCATGACTACGTGCTGCCCTGATTATAAGATACAATACTGTGATATAGAAATCTATTCCTCACGTTGTTGATGCTGATAGATCAAACCCAACATTTTTGTGGTGCTTTTTGTTTTATAATTTTTTTCCAATTTCCATTGGGTAAGGGAAATTCCTAGGGAAGGGGATTTGGAACAGGGTACTGGGGTAATAAAAATACAGAATGTGATAGAGAACAATATAAGTATATCATTATTACTTTTGCCAGTATGTTTTCTTTCTAAGCTTACTTTGCACTTGTCTTGCCATTTTTTCCTAAGCCTTTAAAATATATAGTTATATCTTGTATCTTCTTTCTCATAACTTTAATCCATCATTTTTGTGGTACATTGTTATGAAACTAATTTGGTCATGATGACCTAAAGTAAGTTCTGGCATATGCTTTATTATATAATGCAAAATGCCCAGAGAGAGGCAACAGTAATAGGATGGTACAAAATGGAAAATTTAAAAATAATTATTAACTGCATTCATTTTCACACTCTGTCATTAAGAGTGTGAATGAGTCCTTTTGCTGCCTTTTCATATTTTATTTCCTGTTTTCCAGGCTTTCTGTGAAGTATGAAAGATTTAGCAATGAGGAGAAGCCAGACTTCTGCGAAGGTCATGATCCTGCAGTGACTATTACTTTCGTATGTCCGCAAGGGAGGAGAAGAGAGGTAATTACAATCTGCCACGGGGGAAGGAAGAGTGCTAGATCAAGTCCTTAGCCGTAAAATAAATTATGACACTCCTCCTTAATGGGGCCAGTAAGCCCAACGAGGTTTGAAACAGAGCAGCAGATATTCTTCATCTCCTAGAGAGAGTTGAAGGGATATTGTCAGTTGAGGTAGTTGGTAGTTGCCAACTGGCACCAAGATTCCTACATTTGCTTTTAAAATTCAGCAACTTTGATAACTCCGTAGTGCTTGTGGGGGCAGGTGTCAGATTATCCTCCAACACACGATAGTATCTCATCATACATTCCACAGCACTTTTTTTTAGTTCTAGAAAGGGACAAAAAACATAAATGTAGAGAAAGGGGGCTTGCATTCAGCCACTCAGTAGTGGCATTGTTTTATTGCAGCCATTGTAGCTTTATCAGTCTCTGCAGAAGCAGATGGGAGCGAGGGGACCTGAACTATAGCCAGAAGAGGCTGCATGTTGCTCACCACAGTCTAAATAAGTGGCTGATAATATTGCATGAAAGTATGAATATGAGGAATGTTGGTTTGTTGTAAGCAGTATTAATTAAAACATATAGATTCCTGCTAGGTCAGTAAAACCTCACCAGGGTATCAAATGATGGCTTGATCCTTTATTTGTGTTTGAGAGCATCTGTACCTCACACTTTCTGTGTACAGTAAGACATGGAAGACAGCTTGTATTAGTTCCATAAAACAACTTCGTAAGGAACAATTATGGATTGGAAACCCAGCGCTAAGATGAAGGACTGAAAGATTGTGGTATGTGTCGTCTTGAGAAAATAAGAATAAGGGGAGATATGATAGCATTCTTCAAATATTTATAAGGTTGCCCTATGAAGGAGGGACAGAATATGTTCTCTGCCATTCCAGAGTGCAGGAGTTAAGTTATGGAAGTAACAGAAAGTCAGATTTTGACTTCAGTATCAGGCAACAATTCCTAACTGCATTACAGTGGAACAAATTACCTCAGGAGGTGGTTAACTCTTCAGAACTGGAGGCATTCAAGAGAAAACTAGACAGCTGTTGGTCAGATATATGGTATTTTCACTTAGATTCTTGCATTGAGCACGAGGTTGACTCTATGGCCTGATAGGCCTCTTCCAACTCCATTATTCTATGATAATTAAGCTATTTATTTTGTTAATATAAAATCATGGCTATTAAAGTTTGTATATAATGGGAAACCATGTTCAGAAGTGAAAATAGACATTTTCTTGTGAAGGAGGGAGCATGTGTGAATTGAGAAATTGATCACAATATGATCATAAAGTCTAACTATGGTTTATATTAAGAGTGGGTGGCACAGCTTCAAGATGTTGTACTGTTATTCCTGTGATCCCTCACCATTGGCTAGATTTATGGGAGTTGCAATTCTACAAGAGCTGGCGGGGGACAGATTTCTCAGACCTTATGTTGATGATGATTGTGTCAGTGAATATTCCAAATGTAAAAGCCATAAATGCAGGAAAATAAAAAGTAAGAGTTTTGTTGCGCTTGTTAATTTTGCCCCTGTGTATTAAATGAAAGTATGTGCTGCTATTTCCTATTTCTGGAGACTTGCATCTTATCTGCAAAAATGAGGCTGCATTTTGGGTCTCCCTAAATAAAATTTATTTCCTTGACCTTTCTATTTACAATTTTATTTTTACCTTTTTATATCAGGACACAAGTCCTAAACTCACAGCTCAAAGCAACTGCCGGTTTGAAATTGAGTGGGTTACAGAGTCAGCTTGTGTCAGGGACTACTTAGAGAGTAATAGCTGTACTCTAACCAATGAACAGCATGGTATCTACGTAAACTTGTCATCCCTCACACAATCTCCAGGTAAGCACTCTTTTCCTTAACAAGTCAAGAAAAGCATTTGTATCAGTAAAGCTAATGGCAGTGGTAAAGAAAAAGGCAGGAGCCTCATATAACTAGATTGTGAAATATATTTTGTATGCAGAGCTCGATTCCAATTTACGTAGAGTACAAGTACCTTGCAGCAGCAAACAGGGTCATGTTTAACTCTTACCGTTTCATCCAGGGTGTTACATACAGCACTGATGTTACCTGTCTGTCATGGGTTGGAGGGAAAGTTCCATCCTATGGGGAGTGGAAGGCGGGACATCAGGAGGAGGGGCTGTACTGTATATATATGTGGAGTTTGTGTGGAGAAGTCAGAGAAGCTGAAGGAGAAGCTGAGGAAGAGAGCTGAGAGAAGAAGCTTGAGTGGGAGTCTGTGTGTCAGACAGGGTACTACTGTGTGTCAGTCAGTACCAACCTGATAGGTTCAGGTGTCTGTATGGGTAGCCAGAACTGATAGGTTCAGGGTCTGTGCTTCAAGTTAAGTGTTCTGTGTGAACCAAACTGTGTGTATGTATGATTGAGACTAAGCCACGTTACTGTATCTTATTCACTTGATCATTTTATTTTCCCTGTGTGTTATTTAAATAAACCTTATTCCTTTATTTGTTAAAAATCCATTCCTGGTCTGTGTGACTCCTTACAGGGAATGGTTGGTGGCAGCTTAGTGAAACTGTGGCAT